TTCTTGCTCGGAGATATTCACGTTTCTATTGTTCATCCTACCCTTTTTCAACAGTTCGTCGACTGCCCTATCTGCATCACGCTCAATGATATCCGTCATCTTCCGCATCAGTTGGCATTCTCTCTCCCTACGTTTCTCTTCACGTTGCTCCCAACGTTTCTTTTTGGCTTCAAGACAAGCTGCTGCAATTGATGCTACAGAAGGGGAGCGCTGACTGATTGCGAACTCGTAGGCAGTCATAGAGGAATGAAGGGCCTCGCTAGGGTGGTTGAGTGCAAGTTGAGCTTGCCCGAGATAGCTATATGCTTTCACTATGGGTGTGTTAGCTTGAGAATATGGACGGGAAGGCAGGCGAGCGGGGTAGATGGGGTGACTGACTGTTTGAGGGGGAGAGCTCAATGGCTTTAAGACAGTCATTAATGACTTCTTCGAACATCTCCATTTTGAGCCTGGCAAGAGCGCGGTTGGTGAAGAATGCAGCATTGGTGCTATCGCGAATTATACTGTTGGGGCTAGGTGTTAGCAAGGTCGATTGTTGTATATAGGTGGCTGCTGAAATATATCTGCCCCGAACCCATTCAACCACCATCAAAGCACAGGCCAACTTGTATACTTACCCACTTACCCATAGACTTCACTTACTGGTACCTTTCTGATCCCCTTGATAAAGACAAACGTGCAGATAGAGAGCAGGCTTACGCTTGAGTATAAAACTTCTCTGCCCCAGTGAAGTCGCCAGCTTGAAAGCACCTGTACCATCCCGTACATTAGCCCTACATCTATCCATTCGTTCCCGGAAGAGCTAAAGGCTTACACATTCCCCTTCTGCTTCAGTTCGTCCGCCTTCATTGCCATTTTCTCCGCTTTACTCAGAACCTTCCCTGTTTCCTTTCCCTTTCCTTTCCGAAATCCGCCCTTTTCCCGATTCCGCTCGGAGCTCGAAGAGGAACCCAGTTGATTTTCTTTCCTAGCGACCCGGCTAGAGATAGATAAGACCACTCTGAAATCTCTCCGGGGATAATAAAGTCGGAAACGATTGAGGATAATGGGATATAGAGGAATGGATGTGAGCGAGTGAGTGAGTGAGAGTATGTGTGTGCGGCTCAACGATCAACAGACGAGCCTAAATCTAGTCTTACTGTATTTAGTGCGGGAAAACCTTGACAAGACAACGAATGACCGCTATGCAGTAAAGTGACGCTGAAACAACGAAGGGAAGAGGAGGAAGGGAGTAGCGGTGGTGGTTATGGTCTTAACAGAGTATCACGGTGCTTGCTTACAGAACGGTAGATCGAACATGCTGGAACTCAGAGTTCGCAGGGATTGGTGGGTTGGGTTGGCACGAGCGTCAAGTGGTGGTGTCCAACCGTCGGGTCGGGTTCGAGCACAGCTGTAACCGTAGAAACGTTTTGGTTGCCTGCCTGACACCGCCAACCCTAAAGACCGGAGCTACTTGCTACGGTTTTCATGGATTGAATAGAAAAAACACCGTGTCAACCGATCAGGCCCCAAAGTTTGAGGTCACATGACGTCGAATAAATGCTGGATCGCATGACATAACTGGCAGTCACTGCAAGTGATTCATATGAGGGCCGCGAGCGAGTAGGAGTTTGTATGCACTACTACATGGCTCACTACATGTAATTATTACAACGCGCGCCTTTTACTTTACCATCAATAGCACCACCGTAAATAAAAATGGTTTCTAGCTAGGCACAGATATCCTCCCTAGAGTACAGTCGTCTTGGGGGCAACGACGAAACTGGTTGAACGACGAACAGGGGTCTTTATCAGTCAAGCCAGTGGCGCTCAGGCTGGTATGCAACCACTTGTTTGGCTGAAATCTGTGTTTTCGTCGTTGTCCTAGGTTCGTCGTTGCCCTAAAGTTGACTGTAGTATTCCGCACTGCATGCATGTATGTAGGTATGTACTCTACATACCTGGAACCGCTTGTGTAGCCCGGTAGCGCTTCAAGGAGATTGGTGGGCAGGTAACAAGCCTTTGTTTTTATATAATAAAAAAATTCAGGCTTAAATAGCACAAATTCATAAAAGATCTCAAATTACAATAAAGACCGCATACTAGCACCAAAAGGCAAAATATTTTATTTCAAAAGGTTATAGCCAGATCTGTGAATCAATAAACACAGCCAACTTACCTCTTAATCAGCTATAATCACGACTCAAAGCAAAATTTCAACAAAGGCACCGCATGATTGGACAAGACCGCCATTTCAATTGAGACGAAACGAAACAAAACGCGAAGAAATAGAGGGGACCCCTAAACGGAAAAATCACAGGAACGAATGAGAAACGAAAAAAGAAAGAAATGGAACCCAATTGTGTGAGCCTCTGGGATTCAGTTTGTTTCCAAATGTGCAAGTTTACGCCCCGCCTTCCCTGTTTTTCCTGTAGCTTGCCTATTTACCGTCCCCGTTAGTCTTGTCCATTGTTTATTTCCAGATATTAAAAGAGAAAAGCAGTCTAATCGCTCATTCCATCCCCATAATCTTCACTTCTTTTGGCCTTCATAACATCGTCCAACTCCAACAGCCCCGATCAGCTGCCCACACAAAAGAAAGAAAATGTGCAAAGTACAGGAGGGAAGGAAGAGAGAAGTAAAAAAAGAATTCATACCTCCTGTTCGACTTGTAACCCCTCAATCAATGGTGCAAGCTCAGAGTAAATCTCAAAAGCTTTTTTATGGAACTCCAACTGGGCTTGAACCAAGTCCGCAAGGTTTCTCAAAGGTTCGGGGGTGTCGAGAACGTTCTTCATCACGCCAACAGCCTCCTCTGTGCAGCCAACAAATTCATCCTCGGCTGTCTCAACCTCAACTCTTTGCTCCTCGGTTAGGTGTTCCTCGTGATGGGGGTCTTGTTGTCTGGCACCACCAAGATTAGGGAACCCGATTCCACCACCGCTCTTGGCCTTAGATTTAGCTGCATCAAGAGACAGGCGAGCATTCTCCACATTTTTGCGCGCTTTTTGTGCGAACATAATATTCGTGTTCAATGTGGTTGTGAATGCCGCGTTGAAACGAGACTGAATCTGGGCATCTTGTTGGAGACGGGCTTCTCCAACCTGCTCAGATGCGAGAGCGTATTTCTCGAGGGCGGTCGCAAGGGGTTCAGACGAGTCAAGCGCATGCGCAGAATTGAGTGAGGCCCGGGCGATGGCGTGGGCGAAGGTCTTTGGGGCGGATTTTGTACCGGGCTTTGTCAAGATGTTTTGGGCCTCAGTAGCGGTGTTTGCAGCGGAGAGAAGCTGGACCTTTTCGGTGATTGTACGGGAAAGATCGACAAAGGACTCGCGCTGTGGAGGGATTAGTTTGGTTACCCCGGGCTTTTTGTGAGAGGGGGGGGGGGGTGCTTACGTAGTTTGGGGGGTAATCATAGGACTTTATTCGAAATGAAATCTCGTTAGTATGTTTAAAAATAGATTATTCGAACAGGCTGGGCTTCTACCTCGTTAGAAAATTGAGAACTGTAAGGGAAGATATTAGCACGTGACACTTTACCGGATAAAGTATTTATAGGGCAGGCGGGGAAGACATACGTTACAGCCAAGAGTTGCTGATGAACGAGTCTCAAGGCATCGACACGTTTCTCGAGCTCGAGGTAGTCCGATGGTAGTTGAGTCTTGGTCTCAGTCAGCTTCCTGCGGATCATAAATACCAAAGCTGTCTCGTTGAGTAGCTCCGCGAGACGCCTGGCAGTAGCAGCCGCAGAAGCAGTAGCATTGGCAGTAGCATTGACAGCAGCAGTGGAGACGGAGGCAGCGGTAGCTGCAACGCCGGGGGCAGATGAAGATGGTGGGGAGGCAGCAGAAGCATCGGGTATAGGGACAGCAGTATCATCAGAGTGAGGAGAAGAAGAAGAGGAAGTGGGGTTGGTGGTATCAGAAGAGGCAGCAGCAGTGGCATCATCGACGGGAGCATCAGCTGGGCCATCAGTGCTAGCACTCTTACTAGCACTGGGAGCGGGAGAGGGGGCGGAGACCTTATCCTCGACCTGGGTGAGCTGCTCCCGAACAAACTGCTGAGTACGAGCAGCAAAGGGAGTGAAGCTCGTTGAGATATTCTTGCCAAAGTTGGCAATGTTCTTAGTGAAATCCATTTCGTAAGAGGGGTTGATGATAATTAGGCGATGACGTGGGAAAAGGTAGAGATGGGTATCCGTGTGAGAGAAGTATGTACGGCGGTTGGGTGCGAGATGATTGATGGATGAATACAAGACTTCTGATAAGTGGATAAGATGATGTGGTGGGGTTGGTAGTTAGGTAGCCGAGCCAGCTGCAGCCCAGACGCGGGCGCTGGCCCGTGATTGTGAGACATCATTTGCTGACTAGTGCTAAAAATTACGCAGGCCGCGGACAACTAGGTCTTCAGAGTTTTCATGGAATATCACTCGATATTTATCAACCGGTTTTTTTTTTTGGTTTAATTCAATTGAACCACCAGTGATGAGCTTTAGCTGGGACATTATTAGAAATAAAAATACATATATATATATCAGTAGCCTCCGCTCTGAGTTACGAGTATATGGCAGCTGTTAAAGCTTTGTTTCCCCGGCACATAATTTAAATTTAGTAGAGCCTTCTATAGCGCTAGACTGGAACCTACACTCTTTTCAGTACAAAACGGCTTCGTCTTTACTTATAAGATCTGTGCAAGGCCTCATGTAGACCACAGTCTCAATGTTAGTGGGGGTTAAACTTGATCGAATTCCGGGCACTGGAATAACACTAAAACTCATAAACCCGCACCCAAGTCTCTGTAGTTAAGGTTTCGAAGGCTATGTCTATAACATCTAATATAGATATTAGAAGTGCATTATATAGATGGGAACATTGTGATTTTGCTGACTCCCATCGGTTTTGGCCTCAACAGCGGGGAAAATAGCGGGAAAACTAGCTAGCGCTATTGAAAAATACATGTAAGATTAAACTCTGTCATGTGTTTAACGAATATATGTATCTGGTTAGAAGCAACCGATAAAAGGGGATGTGGTTTAGTGGTATAATACCTCTTTAGCAACTGAGCATTGTAAGATGTTCTACTTGGATAGAGGTGGTCCGGGGTTCGATTCCCCGCGTCTCCATTTTTTCCCACATGAGGTGGTTTATTTTTGGTTTCCCTGTTTAAAGCGCAAATTTGGAACTCACTTTCCCTTTACTTTATGCGCACGGAAGTTAATTAAAATTGTAGCGTGAGTTGGGACGTTGGATTGTGTCAAGCTTTTTGGTGGTGAGACACAAGTCAAAAAACCCAGCCTCTACGTTGCGCTAAGCCTCACAGTAGCGTAAAGGGAAACGTAAGTAGTCCATCACGAACACTTAGACTAGACCACCTCTCACATAATATCGGTTTCGTCTTTGGTGATTGATTTGGATGAGACTCTAGAGCACAACAGAAGACAGCCTGCAACGTGTAGTTGAGAGAAGGTTATAGAAAAGAAAAACTCATCTGGTTTTCGAGTTATCGAAGGAGACGTAGTGCACCACGGGAAGCAGGATATATGAAGTTAAGGAAATTAACCTCCCATCCCCCCTCGCGGCTAAAAAAAAAAAACTCAAGTCCCACTTTCAAAAGTTTCAGCCCGACTGATCGAAAAGAAACCACCTTAGAAAACCCAACCGACTTTGATCACCACAATTACCACTATTGCTACCAATATATACTCCGACGAAGATAGTTTGAAATTGATGGTAACACGAGACTGGATTTAACCGTTGCTAATCCCGGTGGGTCTCTCTCTGCATACATGTATGTAGGTAGGTGGGCACAGCACCAGGAGAAGATAAAAGGATTTTCAACAACTCCCCAGTGAAAAAAAGGATCAATGGACGTGCTGGGAATCGAACCCAGGACCATCTCAAGTCACGTAGATGCGAATGAGATATTATACCCCTAAACCACACGCCCTTGACAAAGATTGAATCAGTATCGTGAAAAAGGGGACACTAATACATGTAAGTACTTACATGTACTTAGTAGTACTTTTGCTCGGCGTTCATTGATCCGGACGCCTTCTTTAAACACACAAAACAGTCGCTCGGGTGTAGTGATAATGATAGTTTGAGAGCGTATACAAGCTAATTTGAGCGTAGTCTTAAAGGTGTTTCTGCTTCGACTGTGAAAGTGAGGTGATTGTCGAGGGAGCGTCCGTGACGTGACTAAATCATGATATGTATCCCCCCTTGGCTACAGCACGACTGTAAAATTCAGATACCAAAAGTTACAAGCGATAATTACTTGTCCATCCGAGGCTTCTATTGAGGGCTTTCCCTCACCCAGGCACAATCCATCCGCCGGATAGTTGAAGGTGATGGGTACGCTAAGAAAAGGTGAATTGGTAGATTTGCGCCCTAGAGTATGCAATGATAGTGCTAATTTTTCTGGTCCGTTGGGCGAAGGGCTTCGTTGACTTGAATGATCCGGAATATGTGTCATTTCCACATACACAAGGGTCCCGAAAAGTGATGCAGCGGCTTGGATTAGGTGAGGTCTTGTAATTGGTGAATTCGCAACCGCCTCAATTCCTTTTCTTTAAATGCGATCGATGAAATCTTTAATGTACTCTCTTTACTTTATATATTATATCTTGTTGTTTCATCAAGGTCAAAATTGGGTCGCATGTGATTGATTGAAACCGTGAGTGGTAAATTGAGTCGTTGCATCACTTTCCGGTACCCTTGGGTATTTACATGTAGCCCAGTAGCAAATATCAGAAGGTCGACAAATGAGATCAGAATCAAGTTGGCTAGGTGACCAATCACAGACTTGATTTGCTAGCTTGACTTCGACTACTTTCAGGAGTGAGCTGAATGGTCCTTGCTGGGGTGCGCTCTTCTTGTATTGGCTTATACTTGCTCTACTGCGATGCGACCCAAGCCACCCAACCCGGGTTCAGGATGAGACATGGAGGGAAAGAAAGTATCTGCATCGGAATGATGATGTTATACTGTTTCAGTGGCCGGTGGGAAGGATGTAATTCCTCAATGGCTCTGACTTTTATCTGGAGTTAAGAGCCCCAAGACTCAAACCTAGTATATATTGCGACCCAAGAGCAGAGCCAGCTTGAGCTTTGGGTTTGAGCTTTCGGCTCGTTGGAAGAGAGCTTCATCATCCAGCGAGCCTGAGCCGCCTTGAGCTTAAACCATGTGGTTTTCGCTGAGCCCAAGAAGTTACAGGGACCATACGAAGCTTAAGAGAATGTAGGCTCTGACAAGGAGATATATATATATGGACCACCAAATACCTTTAGCTAGCCCTGGGACCCCCATCTCGATTGCTTGTCTCATCGCTCGAGCTGCTTTCCTATGATAATACATGCCCATACTACATATGTAGTAATTGCCGTTTGGTTGAAGGAAATCTTGTTCTTCTGATCACTGACCACCGGCACGAGCTTGTGGGCCCCCTCTTTTCGGGCCCCCTCTTTTCCTTTTGTCACAACCATGTCCGGAGTCTAGTATTCGATTTTTGCCCGCTCCGACGGAAGTGGAGGGAGAGGGGAACACTTCTGCGTGCAGCGCGGTACAGGTTGTCTTACCCACCGTCTAGACCTAGAATTTTGAGCTGAATCTGAATATTTAAAATGGCAAAGTTTCATCAATTTCGTGTGTTCGTTCATAGAATGTTGAAAACTGGGCATCCCGTCCGCTCTGCCATACATAAACAACATATCGCCTAGTCAGTACTGCGGTGGGTGACCACGTGGGAATCCTGGGTAACGAACTCGATTTTTATTTTTCTTTGGCAAAATGCCAATAATGGCCGTGAGCTCACTGTATAGTACCTGGCCGTTAAACTATCCCATGCAGAGTTTTCCTATCAGATCTCGCATCCGGTACTCAACACGCGTAATCTTTCTTATGGATCCCTATAGTAGAACGTTGAGATATCTACTACTTGACGCTCGCCCCAGTATAACCTGCGACAGAATTAAATGGCAAATTGGTATATACAAAAGGCCTCTCTCCTGGTGAAGATTCCTTATATCATCCTTCGCATACACAGCAGCATTTTTACAGCCCATTTGTACGAAGTATAACATACCATAGATATATAACGACATGGGTGTACACAGGATGTGGTGGAAGAATTTTTCTGATTTGACTATCGCATTCCAAGACACCAAATAAAACTCGAGGTGATCACGCCTGCGAGTGAGAACTCATGATGAAAGGGTTTACTGATGAAGTTGGTGATAATTCATGACCCGTGTTGATACGTATGAATAAACGAATACAGAACCTAAATGTATAATGTGATTCTCATTTGTGGTATATTCGTTTTCTGGAAAATTTCTAGAAATTAAAACGAGTTGCAGTAAATGTATATACATACACGATCGCATCAAGTCGTTATGGAGATCTTTGACTGAATTTATGGACTCACGATTTTAATTTGGGTTGGGCAGGAATATATGTATGCATTTAGAGCTTGTATTGTGGTTCTATCGGGCATATGTACTTGGGCTGGGTTTTGGGCGTCCTATCAATCATCGAGTAATATATCCTTTGATACCTTGTATGCGCCGAGGCCCCATTAACTATATATATGCCGCCGCTCTATAATCCAGGATAAGGCGACCAGTTAATGTCCCAAGTCTTATCAGGTTTCTTAGCGATATTTAGTGGCTCCTGATGAAAATGATCTAAAGTTACACTAGATCTTACAGTATGAGGAGTCGTCCTACTATCACCCTGGGATAGAGATGATCAGCATAAGTATTAAGTAAACCGCAATGTTTCTGTCAGTGATATATTTTAGTAGAAACATGCCGATAGCTATAGCCTGCGAAAGCCACCTAGGTTCCATGTCTATATAGATGGAATGAATATAGCAGCTTTGTTCACGTAGCCTAAGATCCGAGTAGACTTCCGGAGGAACATAAGTCGGGTGGATACTGATTCGCTGAAACGCTTTTACTTGAACATTCCACAGTAGAAGGTACTGGAACCAGGAGACTGGAAAACTCTTGGGCCATTTACTTCTAACACGGGGGCCGGTTCGTAGCTGTCCGATAAACCTGGTTAAGAGCTCCATGGTTGAGCTTGAATAATCATATATTCTGATTCAGTCCAGTTAGTTCAGCCCATTCTATTACCCAATCTATTATGGTCTAGCATAAAGAATAAAAAACTAAGATACGGAGATAATAGTGATATCTCAACCCATTGCTCCTCGACACCCCCCCCCCCCCATGACGGACCCGGGATCTGCATTGTATTAGACCATTGTTTGCAAGCACTCGTGATTCTTATAATCTCATTACTAGTAATGCTTAGATAGGCGAAGTTTAAGTAGGAAATAATAGATGTTCCATGATTAGGAAATAGTGGTAATCATCACTCGCATACATCTTGTGTGTAAATTAAGTCGCAAGATATCCTGATGCAGGTACGTGTATCGATTCTGTAAAGTTAGAAACCGGCCTTCTGCGAGAATAAGTCCAAGAAGGGGCATTGTTTAGCTTAGAAACTCCTTTGTAAAATCCCCTAAACGGCATGGTAGCTAGGAATCCCAGTAGTGGTATTGAGCCTGATCTCCTCCACCTCTCCAAAGACAGAGTGGTTGAGAACAGATATGGCTTATACGAGACACTACGATCTTGCTCACTAGAGTTCGTACGAAACTGCTATTGTAAGATTATCTTAGATCTATAGACCAAACGAAATTTACAAAACTGCGCAAACCGGTGTTACCCTAGCCTTGAGAAGACTACCCAGCGAGGTGACACAAAGTGAAACATCCTGTACGCTCAAAGGATTTCCTAGCTGTTTGGTGAGAAGAAGTATTTGTTGGTGGTAGATCTTTGGCTTGTGAGCTTCGACACCTCCCCGTCTATACCGTTAATATGTGAGACCGTGGGTGAGCGACATTTCGTTGGGCTAGAAGAAACACAAGTATCGATCCTTCATAGATGGGGGTGTGGTTGGATAATACCTGGGTGTGTTGGTGGCCGGCCGGTTGTTGGCATTTTGGTGGTACATATATGTGTTGTAGGGAATTACGTTACGGGGTGAAAGGAAGAAAGGTGCGGTCTAAGCTCCAGTCTTGAGCTACATACCTAGTTAATTCTGTTACCTGGTAGATTGGGTTTTACCTTGAGCGATTTTTCTTTCCTCCCAAGATTCCAATAGTTAAAGTTAATTACATGTATCGATACGACTGTTTCAAACTCCTAGGTGGGATGGCCCGGTCCCACCACAAATAGGCCAGACAGCCCCAGTACCTATAGGGCTCATCTTCAGCTTAGGGACCAAGCTTTCTGAGACAATGTAAATGGAGTAAGCCGGGATGTTCCGCTGACCCCTAATGTTTAGGAAGCCTCTGGTTGGTAAGTATGCACGCCGTCTTGTCCTCATAGGCTACTAATATCGAAGTTTTCCGTTATAACGTGATACCCCACATGGATGGGGCGATTCAAGAAGTGGACTACTAGTGGAGGTCTTTTAAAATCTCTACCAAACCCCTCAGCTCGTACAGGCCAAGGCGGCCAGAGACATATCAGCTCGCCCATGGAAAGCTCAGGCTAACATGGTGTTTAGATGGTTACACAAATGACGGGTACGAACTGAGATACCGCCAAAACTCGAAAAATTGGCTATGCGTAGTACAAAATCAAACTTGCTACAAACGGATACTTCTGAGGCTGATCGATACTCTTCAGCCAATCGTTTTAGAGATAATCCCTGGGCGGAGATAGCCAATTTTTCGAGTTTTGGCGGTATATAGAGTACATTGGACTGTAAAACAACTGTTTGAATGCTAAGTTTGGTTCGTAGATGTATAGCCTGTACTTGCTTACCAGTAAAAGAACCAGAAAATGCAAGTGACGGAAACAGGGATTATTTGTATGAAAGAACGGCGCCATTCCATGCAAAGTATGCTTGCCCTGAGCGACTGCATTTTCT